GCCTTTCACATACATCTCAGAGCGATTTACAATGGTTATTTTTTGATGAATTGTCTCTCACTCCACACAGAGATGGGAGCAAGGTCGCCAGTAAAGGAGGTGCATGCCAGACCTATTGTACATGTTTTTAGTGGTAGGGGAAAAGTATTCGGCCCCCTTGAACCTTTCAACATTTTGCCACATTTCAGGCTTCAAACATAGAAGATATAAAATGTAATTTTTTTGTCAAGAATCAACAACAAGTGGGACACAATCGTGAAGTGGAACGAAATTTATTGGATAATTTAAACTTTTTTAACAAATAAAAAACTGAAAAGTGGGGCGTGCAATATTATTCGGCCCCCTTGCGCTAATACTTTGTAGCGCCACCTTTTGCTGCAATTACAGCTGCAAGTCGCTTGGGGTATGTCTCTATCAGTTTTGTAAATCGACAGACTGGAATTCTTTCCCATTCTTCCTTGCAAAACAGCTTGAGCTCAGTGAGGTTGGATGGAGAGCGTTTGTGAACAGCAGTCTTCAGCTCTTTCCACAGATTCTCGATTGGATTCAGGTCTGGACTTTGACTTGGCCATTCTAACACCTGGATACGTCTATTTGTGAACCATTCCATTGTAGATTTGGCTTTATGTTTTGGATCATTGTCCTGTTGGAAGATAAATCTCCGTCCCAGTCTCAGGTCTTTTGCAGACTCCAACAGGTTTTCTTCCAGAATGGTCCAGTATTTAGCTCCATCCATCTTCCCATCAATTTTAGCCATCTTCCCTGTCCCTGCTGAAGAAAAGCAGGCCCAAAGCATGATGCTGCCACCACCATGTTTGACAGTGGGGATGGTGTGTTCAGGGTGATGAGCTGTGTTGCTTTTACGCCAAACATATCGTTTTGTATTGTGGCCAAAAAGTTCGATTTTGGTGAGAAAATGCAAACTCCACTCAGACAGGCCCTCGAATCCAGGACCTTCTTTCTGAGAGGCGAGAGTGCTATCCACTCAGCTACCGTGCCTCCCACGTTGAACAACACTGTCACATTACATTATCAATGACATGATAAAATCAGCAGTGCTTTTACTCTCCGTCTCCTCATCTAAATCTCTCTCTGGTGGCTCTTTTGCAGACACCACCAGTCTGTGTTGGTCCCATGTGAGCGCTGATGTCATTATATGAATATGCAAAAAGGGTACTGTCTGCTCAGCATAACCTTTACCTGAATAGAACGTGGGCCAAACAACGCTGTGGGTGGGAGGCGGAATTCGAGTGTGTGCGTGTATATATGTGTGTGTGTGATTGTGTGTGTGTGTGTGTGTGTGTGAGTGAACAAAAAGACAAAAAACAATTCAAAAGACAATACATGCAAATATTATTCATGACTCATTTGTTTTCACATTTTTTTCATCTCTCCCTGACCACTTATGCTGCCGGCGCGTGTCATGTTTTGTTACCTGTCAAAGGAGCGCTCTGGCCTTTTCCATTCTCACAGAGGTCCAGTAATGCATATGTGTTAATCTCCAATCCCCCAAAGAAATCCACAAACGAGGACTGACGCGATGGCTTTATCCTGACCCAACTCAATTTAGTCGGACTCTGTGTGGTTTCCCATTCCCTTTTAGCGATGTTCTTTTTACTTGTGAAAACGTATAATTCTGTGAATAAATCTTGATAGTGAGTCTGAAGGATGCATTTTCTCTTGGGCAAATGTAAATCGCTTTAATCCTGTATTGCAGTTTCAATGCATTATACTAAATAGATACAGTATTCCAAACAGAGGCAAAGAGTAATTTATATTAATCTTTGTCCAAATGTTACTGAGACAAATGTGCGAAAAGACCCGTTTTAAGTTAGAATGTTAGACTTAGTTTGTTTAAGATTCCAACTTGCTAATAAACTGGTTTGAAAAAATAATAGTTATTGTGTTTTGAGATTGAAAGCATGACAGAGCATTTTTATTATTTCAACTCTTAGTGCTACTGTATGGAAAAGAAGGAATAGTTGGTAAAGGAAAATATGGCATGGAAAAACCATATATCACCAGAGGGAGGAGTTAAAATTAGTTCTGTTTCTTTAAAATGTGATTATTAGGCAGAGCAAGTTTATTTTTATGGCGCAATTCATACAAAATGTAACTCAAAGTGCTAAACAAAACAAGAAAAGAAACACAAAGCATTAAAAATCATAAAAATAATCATGGTATAATACAAAGAGTGAAGACCCAATCCTTCAGTTGTATGACAGCTAAACAAAACTGTTTCTAACCTGGATTTGAACAATGTCAGAGAAGAAGCCTGTCTCATATTTTCATGAAGACTGTTCAAGATTTTAGATGCACAAATCTGAACCGCTGCCACCTCATGTTTAGTCCTGACTCTAAGCAACACAGACAGCAAACACATCCCTGTCATTGTTTATAACATTAATTCACCAGAGAAATTGTCATAAGTAATCAAGGGGCACTATTTTTATGTGTGATGTCATAGTGGTACTATGACATCACACTATTGCAATACTGAGACAGGAGCTTTTAGACATAAGGGGCGGAGTTACATGTTACATGATTTTTTTTTTAAATTTTGATGGATCTAAAAACAACTCCAGTTATTTTAATGAGGGAACATTGGGCCTCATTCACCAATATCTTCTTAAGAATCTTCTTAAATTGTTCTTAAGTAGTAGTTCTTAAGACCCTACGTGGGATTCATCAACGCGATCGTAAACGCTTCTCTTAGATTGATGAATGCCATTTCCTCTTAAGTGCCAGGTGCTTCATTAGCATTGGTACTTAGCATAGGTAACCGCCCATTAATGCCCATAAAAGGGAATGCAGGGCCGTGTGCAGACAGTATATATGCTATTGTTTTGTGGCCTGTGGATGGAGAAATGCCCCCTATAAATAGGAAGGGGTCACTAATACACGGCATGATTTCCAATGTATTTGATAAAGCGTTGGCACATTTAATTTAAAAATAAATTAAGAAATAGGCTAAATTACCACAAAAAAATGAAATGAATAAATACATACATCAATATGACGGAACAGCATGCCAACATGTCGGCACTGAATGTGCGTAAGAGTGCTCCTGAGCACTCGTAGGATTACCCAAGAGAAATTCTGGATACGAGAAAAATTCATGAATGCCACAAGCTTCGTAGATTGTGGCATTCATAGTAGGATTTACGTACAAATTTGTTCTTTAAGAACGATTTGTGAATGAGGCCCAATGTTGTAATAGTCTACGTCTCCTTTAATGGTCAACATTTCAAGGGATTACAGATTATATTGTATGCCAAAACAAACATATATGCTTGAATAGCCCTTTCCCACATTCTAGACACTTTAATTGCATGGCTTGTGCTCCGACATATTAAAGGCAATCCCTACTTTAGCTGTAACCTTTGAATACAGACCGTGCGCGTCCTGGCGGAGCTTGGCACGTGAAGATTCATAATGTAGAGATTACGAGGTCTGAGGTTTACAAGACCACGCTAGCGTGCAAGCCGCCAGCAACTAATTATAAACCTGTGAAGAATTCGACCTTCAACACGTCAGTACAAAACTTTCACATGGAGTAGAAAGAGCTGTGCACATTCAAAGGCACAAGGTCTGGTCCAATCGCATTATGCTGAAAGAGGCTGTCAGACAGAGATGTAAACACGGCTTATGCCGGGTTTATGTTGGGTTCTGTGGCAATGCAGTCCCAGTTTACATCATGCATAAATCTACTGAGAGCATAATGACCCGAGAAGACCCAGTCCAGACCGCCTTTAGAGAACTAGCAGCAAATCTCCTTATTTCATTTTCGTTTCATTTATTCATTCATTAGAACAGAAATTGTTACTAACATAACTTAATAACTTTGTTTATGTAGAAAATGAATTATTTTTTTCCCACCTATTGTACATACAGATAAAACTGGGAAAATGTATTTATGTAAATCAACTTAAAAGGGGCAACAGTGGCTCAGTTGGTAGAGCATTGGCCTTTGTGCCTGAAGGTTGTGGGTTCGAGCCAACCGTAAGACCTACTTCACGACTCCCACTGATGACTGATGACTGCTGTCATTGTGTCCTTGGGCAAGACACCACTTTGCCTGAAGCCCCCACTGAAAGATCTCAGCTCCTGTAGGAGCCTCCTGAGGAGACTCACCACCTGCAGGAGGATCAATGAGGGGCTGGTGTACTGGGTGCAGCTCTATCTGCAATTTTAGATATCCTGAAACAAAACATAGAGTATGTGTATGAGGCAATTACCTCATACACAATTACCAAATGTTTCAAAAAATGTGTTCTAAGATATTGTACAGCCATTATTCCACTATAAGATTCACTGCAATTTAAAAAATGAATTAAGTATTGTTATCCTTTCACACAAAAGCCTTGTTGTGACAAAGCAGCTTTGCACCAAACCATAAAATAGAGAAAAGCTTTAGTTTTTGCAGAATCTATTTCACTGTAAACTTTGTGTTTAAATATTTACTATACCAGATAAATTATGCAGTAAAGAAGGCATTGTTTATAAGTCAACAGATTGAGAGGGATTTTGTTACATTGATTTCCAAAACAGTAAAAAGGATGCAGCCCCGTACGGCAGTACAGTAGACCTCTCTATCTTCTGCATATCATGTTTCACAGAGGATCACTGGCATCAATTAATAATAAATGCTATCTCTACTGTATCCTTACGAAACAGATACGGATCAGCGTTGGCTCTTTCATGTGTAGGATTAACCAGTGCGGATCAAGTTTTGGTTTTGGGAACGTGCTAAGCTTTCCCATTCACATGCTCTGAGCTCTGGATGACAGTAGTAAAGGCCCTCTGTCTCAAATTCAGAAGGAGAAAGTAATAGGATACTTTAACGCAAATTTGTGCTTAAATAAGTAAAGGGAGAATATGGGAATGTGGTAGTGATGAACTGGCCGTGTCGATGCTTTGAAGCGTGTGCTGAGTAATGTAAGAGTGTTATTGTTTTGTGCCCTAATAATGGCTATAAATAAAGTTTGTGTTTTGTGTAGTTGGCGCGTTACTCCACTGAGGGCCTCCTCCAGCTGGGGCCCCTGGGATCCACCACCTTCCTTCCGGACACCAAATGCCTTGTGGACGACGGCCGAGGACGCACCCCCAGTCTCAAGAAATGCGAGTCTGTGACCAGGACATCGCAGCGGCTGTGGGACTTCACACAGGTAGGTCCCGTACCAGAGGAGTCCGGAGCCTGGCATTTCAACACACAGACGCCATAGTTAAGGGCCGATACAATATTGGTATTGAGTATCAAATATCGGAGTAGAATCAGGAATATATGTCGGATTAGGTATTGGTGACGCCAATATCGTGATCATATTTTTCAGTTTATGAACGTTACCAGATGAGAGTAATCCAGAAAATACAGCTGTAACATTTACTGACAATATCAGCAGCTAAATATCCCTTTTGTAATAAGTTAGCAGTGATTGGAGGGAAGAAAAAAGATATTTGTCCCTTTTTGCCGGATTGCATCAAAAACCATTGAATGGATGAGTGCATTCTAAGATATAGCAGTATTATTATAACAAAGACATATTCAGCAGAGAATGTGGCGCCATTGACTTAAATAAATGTTCAATATAATATAAATGGATGAATGAGTTAGTCAGGCATATACACAATTATACAACAGATGTATTTATATAAACACATGCAAAAGATTACTATAGAATATCCAGTAGGGCTTCACAATATTGGAAATTTGAGCGATATTCAATATGAGTTTTTAGTATTGCAATAACGATATTATTGCAATATTTTTTTCTTTCACCTAAAATTGCAATCTGCATTAAACGCAAGATAAAAATGAAAAAAAACATTGATGACATTCAATTGCATATTTATATACTTGTATTTGTTGTACTGTTGTGTCTGTTTTGTTGTCTTTAATATGTCTTTTTTTTTATTGCGCATATTTTTGACATGGATATTGCATGCACCAATATCGCGATAACGATATTTTTTTGATACATCGTGCAGCCCTAGTATGCAGTAATAATCTTTCAATTGTACAATCAATTTCATCAAAAGTTGATCAAGAGTTAAGATTAAGAGATTCTTTATTAGTCCCACAGTGAGGGACTATCACCAGTTGTATCACCAGTCACTGGACAGTAGGAACGGGCAGCACACAGCACACCATAAATAAACAATAACTCTATACTACAATGAAATAAAATCTCCAACTTTAGCATTATGAAGAAGCAAGAAGTAACATCTCAGAAGCAATATGTTAAAGCAAACAAAAAACAAAAACCCACCACATTCTCAGCTCCTGTCTCCTCTTCACATACCAATGATTCACAGTTTTCTCCTCTCGCCCAGTTTCTCATCAACACTCTCCGCACACACTCTCTCTCTCTCTTCTCTGCAGAACGGGCCCATCATCAGCCGGGACACAGGCCGCTGCTTGGAGGTAGAAATGTCCAAAGACGCCAACTTCGGCCTCCGCCTCGTGGTCCAGCGCTGCTCAGGCCAGAAGTGGATGATTCGAAACTGGATTAAACATTCACGGCACTGACTGAGGCGCCGATGAGCCCGCGTGCGCCACGGGGACACTGCTGCGGGCTCCGTGTTGCATTCGGATTGCAAAACTGCGGGGGTCCGGCTCCTGTTGGTGCGCGGTATCTCACTCCGCACACGCTTTAAGCTCCCCTCAGGCCATGGAGCAACCCGACATCTTAAGAAGCATTTGAAGCTCAAGCAGGAGCAAGCTTACCTTACAACCGCTATGTCGCCGGCCCGTAGCGCGCGGACTGTGAGCTACATGTACAAATCGATACGACGTGTGCGCAGCTACTCAATAATGGCTCATAGAGATTGTCCATTTTTTTTCTACTTCAAAAACAAAGGAAGTGTGTTGCTGTGTGTTATTTTTGAATGGGGTAAAACAAAACAATAAAAAAAGGCTAAAATTGCGGTCGATCGCCATATCAAAGTGATTTTTGTGGGCTTTGGTTCGGAAAATTGCTTTGGACGTATTGTGCTGCCCTGGCAACGAACTGTAATAGGTTTCCGCAGGGCTTTTCTGTCTGGTGATGGTAGAGGCGCCCCCACAAACTCAGCTCGGCGTTTCGTTGGACGGTATTGCTCAGGGCAGACCAGAGCAATCGAGTGCCTTCTTTCTCACCACCTGCTTCATCAGACCAGGGAATGTGACTCTCGAAAGCATGTACAAAGTTGAAAATAATGAATATTTAAAACAATGTATAATAAAAAAAAACAGTCTAAAGAAAGTAATATATTGTAAAAAGTGAGCAGTTGATATCTGTCCTCTGATAACAGTTAGGATAATAAACATTTTTATGAGGCGTTTTTGTGATGGTCTTTTGTGTTTTTATAGCTTTTGGTTGCAGGGAAATGAGCGGAGTGGGAGATTAACTAGACTATGCATATTAGAGTAATGCATTTACTCTAATATAACATCATTCAAAACATAGTGAATGTATTCCATGTATTCAGAATTGGACCATATGACAGAATACATTTCATTTTCAATCTTAGGTACCTAACTTTCATTTCATTTCATTTTCATCCCTTTATTATCCATTTCTGGGTTTGGGGGATGGCAACCAGAGCTGCCACCCAAATCACAAAACGCCAGTCCCTCTCTGATCCTCTTGCAGGTCCAGGGTCCACAGGAAGATGGCCAGACTTTCAACGCCCTTGATCTTTCAGCGGGGACTTAAGGCAAAGTGGGGTTAAGCGTCTTGCCCAGGGGCACAACGACAGCAGACATCAGTGGGAGAAGATGACATGGATCGTGGTGGGATTGAACCCACAACCATTAGGTTCAAAGACCAATGCTCTACCAGCTGAGACACTGTTGCCCCCTTACTTAACTTTTGTTTCCATAAATATTACATTACACAGCATGCCGTATTTACAGTATCTTATTAGAAAAAATATCATCCACTCGTAAGAAAGAACCCTATGAGTCACTGTTTGAGGCTTTGGGCTGAAAGCTGATTGGCTGAGTGAGTGAGTCCTTCCACATGTAAGTCAAAACTAATTTTAGAGCTAGGAAAAGTTGGATAATAGAAATATGAGGAATATATATACTTTTATTTTTTACATGTTTGTGTTAAAAGTCAGGTACCCTAGCTTTAATGCCGGTATTGAGTATATTGTACCTAAACACATCTTCAAAGTATTCTCGCTAACATTGGATATGACACTGCACACATAATGACTAATTTCTTTGAAGAACTGTCAAAGTTAAAAGTCTAGTTTTTTTACTGATCCATTATCTCTGAAAGCTGGTGCATTTCTGCGGCGTGCGTCACATGCTTGTCCTAATGGCTGTGTGTGCTCTTTGTTGTGGATTTTGCTGCTGAACACTGCACCTGGAGCCGCGCTGAGGCTTCTGGCCTTGTTCATACAGTAATTGTTCAACCCACCCACTGGATACGTGTCCACACAAACTTCTGAAAGCTTTCCAATTATTCTACCTCGAGAAACTTTTATCATTTTTATCTGTGTTCAGCCCTGCTGCTCAGACACATGATTGGGAGACATCTGGCAGACTTTTATCTCCCAAATCAAAGGCTGAAAACATTATACAAGAACAGGTACATTGTTTGATGATACTGAAATGAGGTGTACTCACTTTCTCACTTCCACATTTGCATTAAACATTTGGATCAAAATTACAAGTCGGAGAACAGGGTTTAGTATGTTTAGATTAAGTTCAGCAATGTAGACAAGCGAATGCAGGTTTGTTTGTATAGCACAATGCATACACAAGGCAACTCAAAGTGCTTCACGAAACAAGCGTTTGGTAAGTTACTCAAAAATGATTCTTAGTTACTAAGATACACGTTATGTGTTTGTAGTAATATTACTGGTTTTACAATGTATGTTACACTATTTACTTTACTTGCTTTACTTTAAGTTGCCATGAGTTACTTTTGGTTCAGCTCTCTAATTATCTTCCAGTGAAAGTTGTTTGCACAGCTGAGAACCTTAATTTTAACAGCAATAAAAGACTAAGCCTAAAATAGGAATTGTTCATCCTCCAGCTTTTGTCCATGTTGCATAATAGACACTATAGCATCAAAATAACTCGACAGATGATGATTCGCAGATGATCCTCCTCCTGAAAGTTGGATGCTGTCATACTATTTCTCTAGCTCAAAAAATACCTACGTCTATTCAGCACATATGAAATCCCTGTCTCAAACACACACAGAGATCTTGACCACATGACTGGAGTTGGATTCGGAAAACACTGCGACTTTCTGCAATACATTTCTGCACCCTATTGACACTTGCTGTTCTGTAGTTTTAGGGTGCAATGAAAAGTAAAGCTCTCTTTTACGGGGGCTCGCCATGCTGCCTGAGTCGTACGTTCCAGCGGCCTGTTTTAATTTGGTTTCCGGCTGATTTGAGCTCAGAGATTGCCTGCTCTCAAACCACGTCATGCTCCTTTGACTCTAATCATTTCATATGAGTGTGCATCATGAGCGTGTCCTCTAAACCAATTCTGCTTCTGTCCACCAGAGAAATATCTTATTTGGCCCTCGACAAGCTATACAAGCACTCCAATACCGTCTCACTGCCTGCGACAGAAAATGGCAAAAATGAGAAAGTTGTACATTATGTGCTTCTGCAGGGGAAAAAAACCCACAGCACAGACAAAATGATGCATTCAAAACAAACGTTCTATTGATTACATTTGTGGGCAGTTTGTTCATAGTTATTTCTACTCACTATACTTCACTGAGCTGGCTATGGAGATATGTAGTATAGGAATATTTTGATGATGTTCTTGTTAAAAGCTCCATCCATCCATCCATTTTCTTCCTCTTAATCAATTTTTGGGTCCGGGGGGTGGCGTGCAGAGCTGCACCCAGTACACAGAGCACCAGCCCCTCACTGATCCTCCTGCAGGTGGTGAGTCCACAGGAGCTGAGATCTTTCAGTGGGGGCTTCAGGCAAAGTGGGGTTAAGTGTCTTGCCCAAGGGCACAATGACAGTAGTCATCAGTGGGAGTCTTGAAGTAGGTCTCATAGTGGGCTCAAACCCACAACCTTCAGGGCCAAAGGCCAATGCTCTACTAACTGAGCCACTGTCGCCCCCTTGTTAAAAGTTCTTTGTTCCAAAATAAATATAGTTTTGCAGCAGAACTTCCATCTGTCCACATACTGCACATACCACATTTGATTTTACAACAATTTCTCATGAACCCTCCACTCATCTCTGAGGATGGGGAAGATGTGACTTTAACAAAAGAACAATATCAAAGTAAAGTGCTTATATTTTGAGTGAAACTGGTGACGGAGCAAAAGAAGACTTCATGCACTCTGGTTGGTCTGAATAGAAAAGCAACTATTCCTCTACTTTATTATACACAGGTACTACATTGTGCATAATCTAAGCAGGGCAGGGCCTGGTTAGTACCGTTATGGAGACCTCTAAAACACCAACTGCCACAGTGTGGTGACTGCAGCTGTATAGGGCCAAACTATGATTATGTCCTTAGGCAAGACACTTCTCTCTCAATGCCTGGAATGCATTTGGTGAATGAATAATTGCCCGTGGTCGGAGGGGCCAAGGGCACACACTAAATGCATTGCTACAGTAGTCCAGCAGTTTGTTATCCCCGGGGAATGATGCCATGTAAAGAGTCTAGGTGTCACGAAATGTGCTAAAAAGAAGAAGAAATTTGTGTTTGTGTTGCAGGCATTTTAATACCACAAAGCAGATAGCTCTGAATGGATCATGCTGCAGTCAATTCCACATAAACTGTCTTTAATAACCTAACCCTAAAAACTAAAAAATATCTGTGTGTTTCTGTTCACTCATCCCTGGTCAACAAAAGCTCAAAGACATAATGGTCTTTACTCACTTTAGCACATTCATTCTTATTTAACAACATTCTCTGCAGTGGAATGACGTGTTTCCGCTCTTTCAAAGTGCCACACACGTGTATAGTGTTACAGAAGCATCTGCGGCTCTCTTTGCCTGCAGCTGCGACAAAAGCAGGTGGACGGTGGCTCTGGGTGAGGGGGAGGTCATTGCGCATTACAGGTGTCCTCTTCCTGCTCTGAGTGATGGGATGGAGCTTTGGGAGGGGGCACGGAAGGGACAGGCCGGGAATGATGGACAAGGACACTGCATAAACCAGACTCCCCCACTCAGGTTCTTTGTGATGCTGACTGTCCTCTTTAATACACCTGGGCCAACGCCAGGACAAGAGAGAGGTCAACATTCATGAAATCGCTTTGTTTTTCTAACATTTATTTCACTTTCACTTGGACTTTTTACGTACATACATCACACAATAGTTCCAGGTGGTCTTTTTTTTGCTTGGAATGTACCTAGCATGTCCCAGCATGGGATAGAGACAGCACATAACGTTTTTACTACTCAAAAACCATAATTTGTACATCGGATCATAACCGTGAATCATACTATTTAATACATTCTATTATTTTTGAGATAATTATGATCATTTGAGCATTTACTAACCCACTGATTTTGTATATTTAAAGCAACTACAGAATAAACAGTCAATTT